TTTGATTTGCTCCTTACATGAGGCCAGTTTTACATTCAAGAGTCAAACATTGAGCACATACACAGTCATACTAACATGTTCAGTTTGTCAAATCATTTATTCTTTACTGCAATGAAAAGCTTAAATCTACAACAAACTGTATGTTAAAGCAATGCTGCCCCACCACAGGCTCACAGATAGAAATACAATACACAATCTTTCTCTATGACATATGGATTTACTATTACCTACCATATGTAAATCAGAGATATCTAGAAGAGATAAATCCATCTACAGGTAAAGACTGAACATTTTCTACATTGTGATATATTCATCCCCCCTTTTTTGTAATTTATACAGTCTACTTGCCAGGAAAGTGCCCAATGATTATTCATAGAGGAGCATGGGATAAAGTTAAGACACTGCAAAAATATTCTGAAATTAAGGTCATATCTGTGTGTTAGCATGTGATATACAGTGTGCAACAAGAACATATGCATATGACACATAATCAAGTGTCTGTGTAGATATCTGTCATGCAGGTTGTTAGTGCCAGTGTTTTAGCTGTTAGCTTTAGGATAAGCTAGTTCATGACTACAAGAGTCTGGGTTAGTGGTAACATCAACAGCCAAGTAAGCAAACAACATGCATGCAAGATCACAAAAACACTCAATAAAAGACAAACACAGGGGTGTCGGTAGCGTAGTGGATAGTGCCAGCGCCCCATGTACAGAGGCACCTGCCTCGCTGCAGCAGCTGTGGGTTCGATTCCAGCCTGCAGCCTCCCGCTGCATGTCACCCCCCACCCTCCCTCTGTCCCCACTTCACACACTATCCTGTCCATTAAAGGCAAAAGCCCATAAAAATAATCTTTAAAAGACGCACATGCACACACAATGTTAAAAAGTCATATAAGTGTTGAATAAAAAGCTTTCAGTGTCTTAAGTTTTCGCCATAATCACAATGTTACATTTCACCCCAGTGAGTGTGGGGTGGGTTAACATTTCTTGTAGAAGTTTTATAAGACTTTACTATTTGTAACCCATAAAAGACAATTTACAAATGTGTACCAAGATCCACAAATATTTCACTATCCACAAACATGTCATTTTACATTTGTGTTGTGTGTAATGTCATATCCACAAAAATACAGACTGATTTGCGAATGTGCATAACTTACTCTGTAAACACATACTTTAATTGCACATAAAAATGTTACAGGCTGTACAAATGTAAACCGTTTCACCGCAGCAAATACAAACGATATCATATTTACGCATTTGTGGATCCATTTTTACACATGAAACTGGTTTTGTACATTTGTGGATACTTCCTTTGAGTTAGTAGGTCATGTGATATTTGTGTTTCCTTACTGTTTGTTTGTGTAATTTTGTCAAAGTCCTACCACAGCAGATCTGTAGAAAAACAATCTACAAATGTGAAGTATAATCATCGTAAAGCTTGTATTGGACTTCATGGGCATAATGTTAGGAGTAAACAGTATGTCCTGTGTGTGCATACTGCATGCAACAGCACATGCTTTTTAAAGGCAGCTGCAGTACTTACTAAAAGTAAAAAGAAAAAGTATGCAACCCTCTATCTAGCACTAGCATCCTTAACAATAACAACAACTGGACACAAGGACAGAAGTCAGCCCCTATTATTTTCAAGAGAGCGTAGGGAAGTTGTGCCTGTCAGTATGAGCACATATTTCATGTAATGTTAAGCATGTGTCAGTAAAAATGGATCATTTGTAAGGATAATATTATCACAGTGGTGATGCTAATTTTGGGTAGCACGTTAATAGTAATTCCCATTAAGTGTTAGCATTGAGCTAATTGAATAATTTGACACAGGGCTGCAGTGGTGGAAGAAGTACTTAGATCTTTTTCTCAGGTAAGAGCACAGTAGAAACAAAAAGTAGAGGTACTTACCATGCGGAGCGGTCCATTTCAGATCAAATAAAACTACTGATACATTCATGTGTTCACATGCTGATGCTGGTAAATGTGTTATTAGTTTGAATCTGCAATCTGAATCTAGAAAGGTAACAAAGCACATTTACTCACAAGTACTGTACTTAAGCATAATTTTGATGGAGTTTACCTGAGTATGTCCATGTTCTGCTACTTTATTCTTCTACTCCATTACATCTTAGGGGGGAATATTCCACTTCCTACTCCCCTACACTTATCTGATACAGTTAAATACTAGTTCAACTGCAGATTCAGACGAATAAGACATGTTTGTGATAGGGAAATATTTGTGGATCATGGTACACATTTGTAGGTTGTCTGCTGTGGGTTATAAATAATAAAGTCTTATAAAAACATCCATTATTTCTCACCTTGTGTTTGAGACTAAACCATACATTTTCTGTTTGTGTTACAGAGATAACAGCTGCACCATTTATTAACAGACACATGTGACTAGTTTGTGTCAGATTTTAAACACATTGGCTTTAAAGAACGAGAAAGAGATACAGACAGAAATGTCAAGAATGTTACAACCATCCCTCATCTCCCCTACCAACTAGTAACCCATTTCAGTAAAGAATTCATCATGGGACTGCCATGGCAGCACAGCTTTAACTGTGGACATTTATTACAGTAAAACACTGATGAACATCATCATCTCAGGCCTCAGCAGTTACGTCTTAAGTCTGTGCTGATTAGATAAACTTTTAGACTGATTCATTTATCAACAAGTAAATTAGTCTCAATTGGTATTTTTAAAAATGCCTCTAAGAACTCTGAAATGCTGTCTGCTTCATTTGTGACACTCATTTGTCTAATTTAAAAGGTGAAAAAGATCACAACAGCAGCAAAACGTCAGGTAATAGTTACTCCCTGCTATTTCTTAGAAACCTTAATACAGAGGGGGGAAATCATTTCTAAGATGTTTTCTTACTGGCCTCGACATAAGTAATTTGAGAATTATGGGATGCTCTGTGTTGGTTCCAAAGATTGCAGATACTGAACGCAGGCCACCATATGGGATCAATTTTAGATATTAGGGGATAAATAAACTGTTTAAATTTGGGATTGATGGTGACTCCTCTCTGTAAATCAACATGAAGGCTTTTGCAAATGTATTGTATTACACTACAAAGCAAACAAACCCGGAGCAAAAGCGTACTTTAGTATAATGCATGTGCACAATGAGGCTCTGATGGAGGTCAGCAGAGTTAAGGACACAAAACTGAATTAAATACTGTACATTTCTCACCATACAGAAGCTTGAGAAAGAACTTGATTACTGAGTATTTCCCCATCTGTGTTTCAGAAAATAAGGTGTCGAAATTCTTGCATAATATCCAATAAATGCTTCACACATAGAAAAACCTGAACGCTTTGTAAGAAGATTTTATTAAGGAGGAGATACAAACAATACAAAATATGTTTGCATTTAGAACTCCATAAACCATGACTGAAGGCTACAGCAAATTTATCACACGGTCAGTCTTCATGTTCAAGGTTCAGTTTATTCTCAAGAAAACTGGAAATGACATTGTTCCCAACCAGTCCTTAATACCAACACACAGAGGATAGATATGTGAAATAAAACCATACAAAACTGCTTTCCATAAAAATCTGCTGAAGGAATCATTTAAACAACAATAAGAAAATCAAATCAGGATTAAAAGTAGTCTTAAAAATTCCAGCCATTGTCCTGCTGTATCCACTGTGGGATGAAAAAGACATCTATCTATTTTGTGTGGTTTCATCTGCTGCTGCGCTCAGTAAAACAATGTATATCCATACTGCATTAGTTGTGTATTGTAGATAACTGTGATCTGACCTCTAGCTGAAGCATCCTGTCGACACTCAGTCTAATTTAAAAGTGTCAGTCTGAATCAGTGCGATATCATCATTCAGCAGAATCACTGATGTCCAAAAGTGGTGTCTAACATTTTCACTGAAAACGCTGGAGCACAATGCAGAGATGTATCATTCTTCAAAATTTTTCCTCCAAATCCGGTCAGTGAAATCATCTAAAATGTGCACAAACAAACAGATAACCCAGCCTGAATGCAAAATCATACTTACTTCAAATGGAGATATATTTGCAGGATCAAGAAATTATTTAAACTTCACAATGAGGTGAAAGACATTTAGAAAAAAAAAAGGTTTTTTGGGTTTGAAAGATTCTTTGCTTTCACACAAATTTCGGAGCCACTTTTTTCCATTTTCAAATGCACCAAAGTCTGAAATACATTTGTAATGGAATAAAATACGCATTGAAGAAAATGAAAATTTGTAGCAGCAGGAATGTCTTTTAGAATTTAAAGTTTTATCTCCACATCTTTGTATTGGTTAATAGTAAAAGTACACTTTGCAGTGCAAAATTGGATTTTCATTTTGATATTTGATAAATTTCTCCTGCTCTTAGAGTTATTTGAATTCTTTAGTGATGTGGTTTGGTGAATTTTGCCACAAAATGAACAGCAAATAATAAAATATTGACTTCTCAACCCTCCCAATCCATATTCTAATGTGGCATTATAGTCACACTCTAGATTTTTCATTCAGAGAAATTACAATCAGAGGGTCTGAGACCAGTTCAGATCATAGATCTACAATGGGACTAAAAGAAGTGTTGCTCTGCAGAGAGAAGTTTTAGCAGGAGCCATCATGGAGCAGAAAACTGATACAACTGCGAAACAGCATTGCTTGTGTCATCTTAAAGGGTACTTAGAAATAATTACCAATATATTTATGAAATTAATAAAATGAAAAACAAATATATACAGATATAGCAAAGTGTAATCTTTGTCAGCTGTGTGGAGCATTAACACAGTCAGGACCTCAGTGAGACAGACGTGAAACACTGTTGCCATTAAGGCCCCTTTTCTATTGCTAATTCTGATACTGTATAATGACAGAAAATATTTATAGAAACTAAATATAAGTGTATTTTCTTTAGTGTATAATCACCTGAAATTATGAGTCGCTGTGTTTTTGTTACCTTAGAATAAGCCGTTTATATCTCCACAGGGAGTGGGTCCTTGTCGAGGGAGAAGACCATGTTGCACTGCCATGTTTCTACAGTAGCCCAGAATGGACAAACCAAACACTGACTCTGTAGGGCCCTTCATGTTCTCGCATTGGCCACCATAGTTTGCGGCCCCTTAGTGTCGAGCAGTGTCAGGAAATCGCTTATTTTTTAAACTTGAAACAGCTTCATTCAGTGTTTTTACCTGTTTACATTGGTGGGTCCATTTGTTTTGGAGAGAAAGAAACCTCTGCAGATACTGCTTTATTTAGCGTTTTTACTGGTTTAAATCCACAGGTGCATTTATTTTAGAGAGGATTTAGAGAAGATTTCTGTTGATAATTTGGCTCGCAGTGTCTGGATCAGAAAAAAGGTGTGCGCACATCAGGTTATCAGATAAAATAAATATGCACATGAGCAGGTGCTGGGCAGGTGGGCAGTCTGTGGAAGAAACACTGACATGTAACACAAAACTGCTTTATTTGGCATTTTAACCGGTTTTAGTCACCTGGTCTGTTTGTTTGGAGAGGAAGAGAAAACATCCCCAAAACAATAAACACTGAGGGAATTCTGACCAGGAGAAGTTTCAGCTGGTTACAATCTGCAATTCTCAGTGCTAGATGCTGCTAAATCCCCCTAAATCTTACATACTGGACCTTTAATAATTTAAACTCTAAACATACTTTTGGTGAGGTACATTTTCAGTCAATGCAAGTTTGATCAGTGTGCTGTAATTCAAAGTAATTTATTTTTCTTATGTAGGCTATGCTTGAATGGCACTATTTATGGATGGAAATAAATTTTGATTTAAAAAAAATTAACATTTTTGTAGCAACATATAGAAGCCCACTGCATTCACTAAATAAATAAAAAAACTGACACATTATCTCGTAATTATGAAACAAGATCTCGTAATAACGAGATCCTGATGTCATACTACAATAAGGCCTTTCGCTGATACTGTTACAACGTTAACGTAAGCTGATTTGTAAAGTGAGTCCACCGAGAAACACAAGGCCGGTACTTTCAGAATAAAAGCATTATATCTGTAGACTATGGAAGCGCATTGAGATAAGTCGCAATTACGAGATCTTATCTGAAATTATCTGATCTGATCTTATCTCGTAATTACGACATGTTGATTTTCTTATTTATTCAGTGAATGCAACGCGCTTCCGTAGCTACTAAAGCTGCCACTGATTCAATATTATTGACAACAAGTTCTGACAACACTGTAATATACAGTTTTTTTACTTGACTTTTATATATACACACACAGAAGCACTAATGATGGCAAGAACTGACGCTTAGTACAAGGTCAATAGAAGCAGGGGCAAAGAAACAAATATGATGTATCACATGACAAATGTAAACTTTGCATCGACCTGTCTTGTTCATATTGTGTTCACAGAGGCAACATGGACACAGGCACCCAAAATACCTAATTCCAATATGCAATCACCCACATGTTTAAACAGACACATATATGCCAGTCCAGAAGTTGTGTAAAGTCAGAAGAAAAAAATAAAAACCTTAATCAAATGTCACTGTATCACAATATATGCACATATACACAATCACAAACACACTTGCATATGTAATAATAATAATGTTCACTTCCAATTCCCATTTCTGTTTTGTTTCCATAGTGTTTCCATAGTGTTTCCTGTTATGTACTCATGAAGTCCTCTGTATAAGCGAATTATCAGATTCTTGTTTATCACCTTGTCCATAGTCAGCAGGAAGAGCCTTTCTGAATTACAAGGTCGTTTACATATCTGCTCCCAATCTGCATGTTTCTTTAAGTAGTGTTGTATCTGAAGAAAACTAGAGAAATCCATCCCAGACAAGCATAATTCTTTCTGTAGATGTTTATATGATTTCAAAGTTTCCCTGAAACTACAGTTCTGTTGTGGCATTTCAGAAAGGGGTCATTCACTCTGTGCCACATAACATACATTTCCGCTGAAACAAATCTGTGAACAAGTAGAACGTCTCGATAAAAGCAAGGGTCAAATCTATCTGTGTAACTGGTGGGGATGTATAGTCCTGCTGTCCTCACCCCCATGTGGGAACTAGGACCAAGTCCTGCTTTAGCCAGGCATTTTCCCATGTAAACATCATCAATGGGAAGCAAAATGATGTCGTGGGACATACTGTATATGACCAAAGCTGTGTAGCCAGATAAGAGGTAGCCCGCACCACCACAGTAGGGAGGATAATCCTCTGATTCCTCCACCTGAACTGGAATATAATACTTACTCTCAGGCAATCGAATAGGCCCAACACCCTGGATCACATGGCCGGTAAAGAGGTGCTTGTCTCCATTATTGTCCTTGAGGCTTTGGAGATACTCAACCATGTTGTCCGTGTGGGCAAAGACGTCATCATCACCATTAAACAGGAAGTGAACATGTGGACAGTTTCTTTCCATCCATTCCAGGAAGAGCATCTGCTTCAAAGTCAGGTTGTAGAATGAGTCATTGAAGTCCCATTGGAGGATGTCATTATATTCGCGTTGCTCCAGCTCGAGGACTTTGTTCAGTCTCCATTTCTCAAAACCATCATTTGTCACTCCTGAGATGAAGATCCTTTGGATCCGCACGCCATTTTGCTTCCGCTCTTTAGCCCAGGTTTTGCGCAGCATCTCTCGGCGGTCATGGTTGGCAGGGGGGCTTTTAATGACCAGTAGAAGGAAGACTTCTGCAGATCCACTAGCTCCTCCACATTTATCAGGAATATCCAGTATCATAGGGAAGTGTCGACAGTGCCGATAGTACAGAAAGTCTTGTATATTACCAGGAAGTGAGGAAAAGTCTGTGATGTTGGCAGCAGACATATTTTGTTTGCATCTTGGCCAGGAGTAAACATAGGGGGTACTTGTGTTGGGTGGCTTTGTGCGATTGCCATCCTTTCTAACATGTAATTGGCGGCGGATGGTACTGAAGTCAGTACAAATGATATAGAAATAAACAACCATGAGGACGGCTACCACCGGCATGAGGATTCCTGGTCCTATACTTTTCTTCCTTAAAACTCTGCAATAACAAAAAGAAGTTTTCTCATTAACTTGTCTCAGTCTGACATAATAATTCAAAGACTAATATTAGAGCACTGCAAGTTCAAGTTAAATCAGCCTAGCTGTAATTAAAGCTGGGGTAGACAGTTTAATCTCGGCATCACTGGGCAACAATCCCAGAATAGACTTTGAGCGTATTGTAATTCAAGTGGTCTGAGAGAACACCAGACTTCTGCACCTCAGCCTGGCTCTTTTTTAAGTCTTTTGAAAATCTACCCTGAACGGGAGACTTCGGACTGAAAGACTGTTAATCATCTTAATCACTGCTCATGAACTGCGGTCAAACTGTTAAACTAGGCAGGGCCAGTCAAACAGAAATTAAAACTTTCTAACTTAACAGCTAAACAGTACACTAAAATATAATTCTGAAAACATTTGGGATGACAAATAGGTAATGCAGTAACAGAATCTTGATTTATATTTGATCAGCGCTGCATGGTTTGACACTTCGACCGCAGTTCAAGAGCAGTGGCTGGCATAATTGACAAGGCTCCTCGACTCTGATTGGTTGTTTTAATGATTCTTGCAAAAGCCACTAGGAGCACTAGGAGGAAGCAGATGAGCATGTTTTATTCACAGATTATCTGCCTCATGTACTTCTGTCAGGATATGAGGACAGTCATATTTGCTATGAAAGTTACCTACTGTAGCTTTAAAGGTCTAGTGTGTAGGATTTAGGGGGGTATACTGGCAGACATGAAATATAAGTATGTTTTCTTTAGTGTATAATCAACTGAAAATAAGAATTGTTGTGTTTTCATTAACTTAATGAGCCATTTATGTCTACAGTGATAGAGAGACCGCCATGTTGCACCGCCATGTTTCTGAAATAACTCAGATCGGATAAACCAAACATTGGCTCTAGAAAGGACCACTTGTGTTTTCATGATGGCAGGTGTAGTTAGCCCCTCCGCGATGAGCAGTGTTGGAGAAACACCAATTTTTTTTTAATATGTGAATGTGCTTTATTCAGTGTTTCTACCAGTTTAAATCACTGGGTCAGTTTGTTCTAAGAGATAATTTGGCCCCTGCTAAAAACCTCCTGAATGTCTGGATAATAAGGTATCAGAGAAAAAAGGTGAGTACACATTAGCAGGTGCTGGGTTAGCACACACTGATTTGTAATGTGAAACTGCTTTATGCTGTGATTTTACCGGTTTTAATCTCCTCGTGTGTGGACGTGTGTGGATATTTTGGCGCCCGGTAAAACCTCCAGAACAATGAAAACTTCCGTAATACTAACCAGGAGAAGTTTCAGCTCTTTGCAATCTGCAGTCCTCACTGCTAAAACCCCCTAAGTCTTACACACCGCACCTATGAGATCCAAAAAACGGACATTCATCCAGTTCATGGTGTATCTGCTTTGCATTTTGCTCTAAATAGCAAAAATTTGAGATGCTGAAAACATGGGCTCATTGCCATCAGTTAAGTGTGGGTTCCTCTGTGAATAACCAGGTCTTTCAGATTCAAGAGTAAATACAGTTAACCTTGTCTTAGAACCTCTGCATGTTAACACAGGGTGCTTTAATTAAGTGTATGAACAACTGACCAAACCCCGTTGTCTTTCTGTCAGTCTCAAAAAGACGGATAAAAATCGTTAATGATATCTCAGATAATTTTGATGACATGGCCATTGTATGCCTTCAACTTCACCCTTTACGCAGTATCCTAAAGAGGGAATTTTGTTTAATCACCAAGTTGTGTTACAAGATGTTGTAATTATTGCCCATGTAGTTATTGCTCTATGCAAATACAGATCACAGCTCAATGATAAGTAAGAAAGGAAAAAAGAAAAACAAATAGCATTTCATCTGTTGGAGCCTTCATGAGACTAAAACATAACATCATTTGATTGTATATTATTTATCACTTGTAGTATTTCTGATTACAGTACCTCTCATTCTGTGAAACTGGGAGATACTTTTTTCATAAAGTAGCAGAAATTGAGCCTGGCAAGAGGGGAATGACTAGAGAAAAAATGTGCTGAGGGCAATTTATCACTCCAGGCAGAATCCAGTCAACTACTGAAATGGCTACACATCTGCTCAGAGTGGGTGGAACAAACAGTATGTAGCACAAATAATTATCTCAGACATTTAGTCAGAGGGTAGTACCCTGACCTTCTCTCTAGTTAGTTCCACCATGAAGTTTTTGTTTTGAGTAAAATATCTCAAACTAATGGAGCACCATGAACACATGTTTCTGCACATGTTTCTGACAGCAAGGAAATATACATAAAAAGTCTTTTATCAGCAACACAAAACAAAACAAATTTTGATATTTTTAAACGATAGATTATGTAAAAACAAATCAGGATTAGAATGGAGAGGGGCAATAGCTCTGGGGGAGTGAATACCTGAATACCTACATTTCCTGTTTTGTAGCATTCAATCACGACCATAGGTTGTCTAGCATTTTGTGTGTGTGTGCAGCAGTACTGCAGTCAGACAAGGGCTAACGAAAGTTTTTATAAATATTAACATTAAAACTAAACCCCCCAATAGCGACTTTAATATCTGTGTCTCCATCAAAATGTCTAAAGTGTTAATCTGGCTCTCTTTTTCATTCATTAAATATCTAAGACCAAACACATAGGATGAACTATTCAATGGGTCAGTTAGAAATAAAGATGACGTAATCAGAGATTTCCCATGAAGTCGCTCCTATATTATAATTCCCATTGAATTATCAGCACTAGTGGAGGTTGGTGGACTTTATGAATGATACTACTATGAAGAGAAGGATTTCTGTTTTCTCGTCTGCCTCTACACAAATAGGCTTTGTGATTGGATACAAAGTATCACTGATTTTTCTCTTTTTTCAAGGTGGCTTTGATGTAATTTTTCTATTGTTTTGTTGTTTTGCATAAATTATGGTAATGTTGAAACATTACAAGGCCGCAGAAGAAAATGTTTTTCATTATAGCCCCAGTATTGAGCAAGCTGGATATAGTTAAAGAGCAGCTCGTGTTAAATCTCAGAAAACATATATAATATAAACTATAAGTTAATGTTGTTTTCTTTGAGAATGAATGAAGAATTAAAGCTTTTGTTATCAAAATGAAATCCATCCTCCAAACTCTCTGCTGATAAAATATTAACACACATGTAAACATCTAAGCTATTTATTTTACATAGTATAAGTCAACCCATTTTTAAAAAAGTAATGACATTCAGAGAAACATGTAGCACCCAATGACACCAATCTTCATTTAACAATAATTACCTGAGCATGTTGGCTGTTCAGTGCGAGCGCTTGGTGGATATCCCTCTAACAGTCAGCAGACAGTCAGAGTAGGTTGGGATGGTAGTAAATGTAAAGGTGATGAAGGCTGCACAGGATGCCTCTGGGGCCCACTTTTCTCCAGGCTCAGCCAATCAGGAAGACTCTACTCTGAATGATTCAAAAAGTGTGTGTGTAAGTGAAGACCTTGCCTTTCTTTTATGGTTAAGTTTAGCAGTTTGTTGAGATTGTTACTGGTGAAAGCTGGGAGAGAAGCCTGGAAGTCACTGCTGCCTGATGATGTATTTGCCTATTACCTGACTAGCTAATGATAATTATATTCACTGTAAGTAAATATAATGTGATACTGTAGCACCCATCACACCCATAACAGTCATTACCTTGGCGGGTAAAAGTGGAGGTGAAGGCTGTGGTGGTAGGTGGAAGGCAGGTAAATTGTGAATGCAATCAAAGCCATAGGTTACATTTTAATTAACGGCAGTCAGTAATAATGATAATAAAGACAAATTCCCTCTTTAACAAAGGAGGCCCATTTGTTCCCAACCCTCCCCCTCATGATCTCACCTGTTCTCTATTCTAAGGTAAACCTGCCACCCCCAGCCACCTCCTCCTGCTGAACCTGCCACAGGAGCTGTTGATCCAGTTTTACACAGCAATCACTGAGTTTGTTTCTGTACGTCAGCCACAGTCTGGTTTGTATCAGCCTCCAAACAGGGGCAGGAACAGGCTGCAACAAACAAAGACGTCTGCAGAATATCATTAGCACCAACCTGCCCACCCTCCAAGGCGTGTACATGTCCTGAGTCAGGAAACGGGCAGGGAAATCCTCTGCAGACCCATCACACCATGGGCACGTTCATTACAACACAGTTTTATTAAATCGCAGTTTAAGAGCTACATCTTAAGGTCAAATGTCCTTCATTTTTAATAAGTCCTCCTGGTTAGAGGATTATAATAGAACTTTATATTTGTGGCAGATATTTGTAGAGCAATAGAGGGGTAGAAAATAAGAAAATATAAAGGTAAGAAATTAAAAACATACATCTAAGCATGCTGTATATATTGTACATGTCATATCCACCTGCTTCATGCATATAAACCAGTTACATTAATCATTCATTGTCTACAAATGTAACTGTTGTTTCTCATACTCTTTTGTATATATTTGTATCTGTACATAGAAGTTAAATGTCTATATTTTACTTTTGTTCAGCTTTGATATATTGCTGTGTATGTATTTTGAGAAATTCCTTGGATGTGTGTCAGGTACTTGACCAATAAAGCTGATGTAACACTTTATGCTAAGGTACACAAAAAAAGAGTAGTTATGAGTCACTAACTATTAGTTAATGGTCAGTTCTTGTGTGAGTCCCAAGCAAGTGTCATACAGTTGCTAATCATTCGTTAATATATACTTGACTGATAATGACTGAGAGAACTTATGTGGAACGAATGAGTCACTATTGGTTAATAGTGATTTCTTGGTAACTACGAATCAAATGTGATAGAGTAGCTAATGAAATCTTTATTTGCCACATGTAATAACAGCGTAATCCAAGTAAAATGTAATCCCGCCAGCTCATTCAGATTGTGCAACAGAAAACCTCAGTAAGTAACATTTACCAGTAATAAACAAATTAGCGACAATATGTGCATGGTTAATGGGTCACCAGAGGTCCCACGATACGATATAATTAAGTCACGATACAATAGTATTGCGATTTAGCGATATGCTGAGTATTGCGACAAAAATTGCAATTTTGATACTTTTTTCCAACTGCAAATTGCAAAGGAATCCTTTGTCAACACTTGTTTTATCTAATAAGGTTTCAGTATTTTTTATTGCAGCAAAATGTATCTCATGGACTGAAAAACCAACTGATTTAATTATTTTTGTATTCTACCCCAGTTTGATTTTTGGTCACAATATTAATGATTTGTATATTAAAAGAATTGACACTTGGCTTTCTTGTATCGATACTATATTGCCATGCAAAATATCACAATACTATGCTGTATCACTTTTCCCCCACCCCTAGTGGTTGAAGGGGCAGTGACCCTATCCAGGAACCCAGTTATTAACAAAATAATATCTAAAACTATGAGGTAAATCTGTAATCTCATATTTCACTTTTAAGACAAATGTACAGATTTGAAGAATATTAATGTCAAAAATAGTCAACAATTGCTATTTTAATAAGAGAGGTGCACTAGGTACAGCAACCTTAAAAAAGGTCACTAATTTAACACACTGTTTCTACATAAGTTGAAAAGTACTGGTCCAAACAATATTGCGGTATTTGAAATAGGGAGAAATTAAACTATAATATAATGTTAATAAACACATATTGTGTACAAACTTTAGATTTTTCTGAGTATCCCAAGAGATACTGTATAGTGACCTTATTGCAGACAAGACAAACCTGTCTCTCCAGGAGAGGTCATCATCAATCATTATACCTAAACAACAAAGTCAGTGAAACTTTGATTATGTCTGCAACATGAATGTAAAGTTGAACATGTTTACTGTCATGCCTCTTATTTCTCTGCAAACATCATGAAATTAGACTCTTTAACATTTAGCAACAACTTATTTGTTTGAAACCAGGTTGAGTAATAGACAAGATCACGACTTAATTCTCTTGTGAGACTTGTTGAATCTCCATTAGAGAGAAAAAGGCCAGTGTCATCTGCAAGGAGCAAAGGGAATATTGCATATTGCATTCGATACAGCTGCAAGATGATTAATATAAATTAGGAATAATAACAGTGCCAATATGGATCCTTTCAGGACATCGTGTCACATTTCTTGTGAACTCATGACCATTAACAAGAACACATTGTTTTCTATTAAGAACATAGTTATAGAGCCATTTATAAACATTACCATGACAGCCACATCTATGCATTTATGAAAGTAAAAATCACTAAGTTCCAAAAGAGCCATATAAGTTGCATGATTTTTACGAAATCCCTACTGATGATTGTAGAGAATATTGTATGAGTTCAAGTCGAGGATCCTTTGATACACCAGTTTTTCTAAAATCTTCAAAGAAATATGGCAGCATTGAGATTGGCTGATAGTTTGTAAGGGATCCTGAATCCCCTGCTTTGAATAGTGGAATATCTTTAGACATTTTTAAGTCAGAAGATATAACACCAGTTTCCATTGATAATACAAACATAAATGTTAAAGGCTCAATAATAAAAGACTTTTTTATTGAGGAAGAGCAAATACCATCATGACCCAGAGCTGAATTTTTAAGTTCTAATATAATATCATTCAATTCATTAAAGTCAGGGAAATCAAAATTGCAAAAAAAAAATCAACTATCAACTATCTTTTTTGGCGAGAAAGCAAAGCAATAATTTTCCATCAGTTGGGTGAAGTTCCTCCTCTCTGAGGTTCAATTTATGTGATCTGCAGGCTGTCAAGCTAAAGAGTCCTTCAACAACTTGCATCACTCCTGCCACTGAAAAAATCACAGAGAGACAAAGATGAGAATATGAAAAATACAAACCAAAAAGTGGGCCGAGGACAATCAGATCAGTTTAACAGCTGCTTATAATCATAGCGACACACACTTTGACTTTTGGCAGAAATCACCATTTGTAATAAAAAAGGCATGTTTGTGACTTTTTTTTTTTTTTTTTTAAAGTTTTTCAGTTGCTAATGTTTGAAGTTTTGCTGTTTCACTGAGTTTCAGTGACATATCTTTGTCCAAAGTGAGCTAACTTTAGTTGTGTTGCTTATTAGGTCATACAGGACCCTGTCATATTAGAATAGGTACCCAGTAGTCAAAAGATACAGTATACATTCTTTAAATTCCTCGATTGTTTTAACTTATAGAGTGTGCCAGTAAACCCGGAACTCCATTAGCGCTTTTAGCACTTCCGGTTCTCTCGTCTAAAAGTCAATACGTTTTTTGAATGGGATTTTGGTAAAATGCCTCAAATAAGGTCTGTGGTTAACAAAAGCCTAAGCGAGTTTCAGGTTTTGTTCTACGACATAAAACACATCAGTAAATACCCTACTTGTGAATTTTGAAGCTTTTACGTGTCGTAAAAAAGGCGGTTGCTAACAAGATGCTCAATACGACTACAAACCCTGTCGGGGACATTAAACATCATCACCCCCGAACAGGCGAGAGTGCTGGCAGTCCGCCATTACAGCTTCTTATTTAGCTTAAACAGTCCGATTTCCCCATTATACAATGTTTTTAAAATAAAGCGGCCGAAATCAGTTGAAAGCTTAGTGGCGGTGACGTCAAGAGTCATGCGACCGTGGAGTAGTCATGTAGTCTGTTAAAGCCTAATGTTAGCTTTTTACTTCTGGCGATTGCATTTAAGCTTCAAATGCGGTATGAAAAGTGTTCATATGTGAAGATTATCTCGCTGAACAAAACCTGTAAGTATCATAAACTTGTGTTAGCCACAGGGCTTATTTTCTGACATAATCCAAAACGCAATGCAAAAATCACATCCACTTTCTCTTCCGGGAACCAGTGCGATGCTAAACTTCCGGATTTTGACGTCAGCCCTGGCACACTCTATACCCTAAGTATGAACTGCTCCTAGCTGGGTGCTCTCTGCATTAGGTGTCAAAATACAACTTCTCCACTTTTACAAAGAATGCTCCCTAGCTGCATTGTTAGAATGTCAGACTGACTGACAAATCAGGCATTTTAACGTCATCATCTTGGGCTCGTGGAAATTGTGGAGTGCATTTTTCACTAACTCTTGAAATAAGGGCACACAACTAACACTGTTGTGTACACATCAAATAAATTTATATCTACCAGAGAGGAAAAGTTACACTGGCTCAGTATTGTTGGTCTATATCAATGTCCCTTCTCCTTACATTACTTATCTTGGAGAAATGATCCCAGTGCATGGCCCATAGCAACATACTTATACTTAACTGATATTTACAACTATTTGGTTAAATCGCCAGATAAGACCATCATTTAAGCTAACAAAGATCAAAACCAGGCCTTTGTTAGCTTCAACCTCTACAGTTTGTCTGACCAAAAGAGCAAAATGCTTGCTGCCCACTGTATACTAAGTATCAGGATCCCACAGTTCCCTGCTGATGCCTCATGTCTGTGTCCACTTTTGTCCTCTTAAAAGCTCCGTTTTTTGGTTCTTTACCCTGTTGGTAGTGCATCCCATCACACAGCAGCTTTTGGACATTAGGCACCTTCACTCATTATAAAGTCAACAGAGAGCACTGAATTGACTTAGACGCATTCTGTCTCTATGGATGGTAACTCAACACCCCAGAGATCTCTACTGTGCAGACTCAGACCCCAAATGATGCTACCAGAGAAAGGTGGCAAGCAAAACTTATTGGAGAAAGGAAAAAAAGGAGCTTGCTAATGGGCACCTTGCAAACTTATTAGCTTGTTAGCTTAACATTAGCTTGGTTGCTAATGGGACATTACAGTTTTATTGAAAAGTTGTATTTGTAA